TCCGGGGAGTTTGGGTGAAAAGGGCCCTAGACACAAAGACAAGTATGGCAGAGTTGAAAAGGGACAAAATCCCCAGGGAAACATGATGAAAGTTGACATTCCCACAGGCCCCATGTACATGCAGCAATCATCCTTCTTCCCTCGTCCTTCCTCCCTCTTCCCTCCTCCCTTTTTTCCTCCCTCCTTTCCCCCCCCCCCCCCCTCCCACCCGTCCTGCCCCCGCCGGTCAGGTGCTGCGCATCAAGCCGGAGAACCTGCTCCAGTCCTGCTCCGCCGAGCTGACGGGCATGGAGCGGAAGCCGGAGCTCAACGGGCGCGAGGGGCGCGTCACGGGCTGGGACGCGTCGGGCGGGAGGTACCACGTCAGCCTCGACGGGCAGGCGAGCAGAGAGAGACCGCAGAAGAGAGAGACCGCAGAGAGACCGCCGACCCACGCCCACACGCTCGCCGCCCTCCCGGACCCCTCCCCCACCCCTCGCCCCCTCCTCCCCCCCCCTCAGGTGGTCTCCCTCAAGCCGGACAACCTGATCCTGCCTTCGGGGGCGAGGGCGACCGTCATCGGGCTCGTCTCGCAGCCGCGCTGGAACGGGTCCACCTGCAAGGTGGTCTCCTTTGACCGCGAGCGGCGGCGCTACACCGTCCAGATGAAGGACGAGTCGACGCACCTCGCCCTCAAGCTCGAGAGCCTCCGCCTCTGACAGCAGCCAGGGCTCCCCACCCTTACCGTCTCCCAGACTCAATTGGGACTTTTATGGGACGCTCGCCGGCGCCCGTGTCTCGAGGTGCGCGCAGCGGGGCGCTCTCTCGAAAGTCGATAACATATATTTTCTGCATTCGGGTGTCGTGTGTACTTTTGGTCCGCTCACATCTGCGTTGGGTCGGTATATACAGCCGGGGTTGGGTTTACCCCAGCGCCTGGGCCGGCGCATCGGCATGGCGCGGGCTGTCCACAGGCGCTGGTATGCCCACACACACACAGAGCTCTAGCTCGTAGGGCGCGCTCTCCGGACCACATTCGGTTCTATCGGCCCTCTGGCCTGCGCCCTCCCAGCACACACGCTAGAAGAAGGTTCCGAAGATTACGATGAAGAACATGAGCACCGCCAGCACGCGCACCGCCAGCCCACGGCTCGACGAGAGGTTCCGCCAGTACCTCTGCAGCTGCTCGTACCCTGCCTGCGTCGAGGCGAGCGCGTCGTCGACGTTCTCGTCGACGCGGCGCGCCATCTCGCCCTGCTCGGCGACGAGGGTGGAGAGCTGCTCGAAGATGGAGCCCAGCTCCACGATCGTCGACTGCACCGACTCGACCGCGTGCGTGCGCGAAGAGAGGTACTCTGGGTTCGCCTGCGCGAGCGCGAGCGACTGCTGCTGCTGCTGCCCCATCTGCTGCCCCATCTGCCCCTCGAGCGGCGAGCCGTTCGGTATCTCGATCACGACGTCGCCGCCGCCCGCGCGGCAGATGGGGCAGCAGATGGGGCAGCAGCA